AAAAAACGGAACGTAAAAACATGAATAATTCGACTGAATAAGTGTAGTTCATTTGCGTTGATGTTTAATAGTGCTACAATGAAAAGTTGCCAAATTTTCATTGTTTTCGTGTAACGCCCCAGACTAAGAAACATCTTTTGCCTCTTAATTTTCCTATGTTCTTGTGCAATTGAGTGCCCTCGTGTGAACACCTTAAGGGACTAGTCCCTGCTACCGGTCCCCTCGTGTAAACCCTTCAAAGACTTGTCGCCGGGACTAGTCGCACGGACTAGTCGCACGGACTAGTCCCCTCGTGTGTGTCGACCTTTAAGAACTGAGAGCCTGGTACATACTTTGTCTTCAGAAATCTCATAATGCCTCCATGTGTTGCGACGAACACACTGTGAATTTTTTTTCTGCGAAAGAAGAGGTTAAGATTATTATCAAATTAACTTTGTACTAACATAGGCCTCGAAGGAGACGCTTGTGATGGGCATAGTTCATAACTTCAACACAAACTTACTGTTGCATTATTTAAACATCCCAGTTATCGCTTGCTGTCTTTTTTGTCACATATGCATCAAAAAGCAAATTTTGCAGCTTCTTTTTATGACCTAAGACGAAAAAGAGTAGACATTAGTTTCCTTTGTTTCCTACGATACATAGAACGCAGTTGAGTACTATTACTCTAAGACAAACCGAAAGATATTTGTCGCTGGAACCAAATAAATTCACAGATTATCTTGTTAGATCACGAATAATGACGGAGACCTTCACGCGCTGTTCAATTTGCTTAATGTGAGTTTTTACATGCAAGCGCGCAGCAAGATCGGTGTTTCTCTTAAATTCTGACGATCACGCTCTGAAGGTTAAGTGTAAGTCTGCCCTCAAGGCAAGTGGCCCACACGACGCCCGCAGCTTACCCGGTTTCTGTAGTACGAAGCGACTAAAGAGTATTCCTGCTCTCCCTGGATGGGATGCCAGTCTATTGACAACTAGCTACCCTCTCCCTACCCCTCCACAATCTCTAAGGCTTCCCTGAGATTTTGCCGGTACTCATTTCAATACTCTTTGTTGAAGAGAGGTACTGTAAGAGGGATGTGTCCTGCCCGAGAACACAGAAAATGATCCGGCCGGGGATTGAACCCGGACATCTCAACTTGGAGCTTGGCGATCTAAACATTAAGCCCTCGAGTAGCTTGCGTACAGTCGCCCCCTTCCCTTCGAGGGTAGGGGGGGGGGCGGTCGTGCCCAGGCTGGCCCTCGAGTCTCCCAAAACAATCCCAGTTTGCAAGAATAAAATTTCCTCTTTTCTCTAATTTTTACACTGGCCACACTGGCTGACATGGACGGAAAGCAATGGATGGGATAAGATGGGATGATGAGGTGGAATGGATGCCGGGATGACATACAATTGTTGGTTCGATTCTGGTCGTCTATTATGTCCTTAGCATTTGCAGTAGATAGTTTGTACACTGGCATTGAATCCTTTGCAGCCACTGGAGTTGTTGGACATATATCCCTGATAAAGAAGAGGAACAAAGTTTTTAAGTACACAATAAATCATAAGCTTTGTTACAAAAAGCACTTGGTGACTAATAATAGTGGTAAGCCAACACCGAGTACTCGGGTTCCTTCATAGTAGCGTAATTAACGAGGCGCTTTTTTGATGCCTCTGCAAAGTACAGTGAACGAAGGCAATTCCGCGTGCTTTGTCCCAGTTTATATTTCATATTAGTATAATTTCAGAGCTGAGCAAAGAGTTTCCAGCAATCTGATTGGTCGAGCGGTTTCTTATATGACGCTATATAAACCGCTCCACGTGGTTTATATAAAATGTTAAAATAAAATATTAATAAATGTTACTAAAATGTAATGATTTTAGAAATTTCTTTGTTGTTCAGCTCTGGAATTAAACTAAAAAGACTTCGTCTCGGGGATTATTCGACGATATTCACCTTGCCTTCGGCAAATAATTGTTAATTACAGAACAATGCGTGACGTTGTGTTGAAAATTCTGAAAGTTGTCAGGTTCAAAACAACTTGAATAATTTCTTGAACATTACTTTTCACGCAAATAATAGTTACCAGTCCAAACAATGGTCCAAAAGTAACTAAGCTCCACTTGAAGTTAGCAAACTCAGTTTTCACTTTCCAGTTCTAATTCGTATCGCGTTTGGGAATCGAAGTATTGTTAACACGAAACCTCATTTCGGTACTTTTCAGGCTCAAAAGTCCCTTGTTTCCTAAATAGATTTTCCATTAGCAGATCAACTGTTCATTTTGAGCTTTTAGAGGGCAATCGTGATAGGGATGGAACAGAAAAACCATCTTTAAATCGTAAAACTACAGGAACTATTATTTGCGGAGAAACTTCTTTTCCTCGACAATTGTATGCTGACGTCATAAGCGAGCACAACAGCAATACAAAGTACGCTCGCGCAATTAAATTTGGGTATCTCAATTTATTAGCTATGTTCTAAAAAAACACTTAACAAAGTGAGGTACCGCTCACGTTTTAATATTATCAACACTCTACAAAAACGTCAACTCACCAAGGAGCTACTATCACATCCTCGCCTTTAGAGTCGGATAAATTAGAAACGCCTGAGAATACCAAACAAACAAACTGATAAACATCACCTCAACTGTTGCTAAACAAAATTATTTACACAACAAACAACACCAAAAGATGAGCCACTGATGTGAACTTACCTTTTAAGTCCATGTCTTTTGCCTGAAGATATTTGAGACCATACTCTGGGATAGCAACAGCAGCACTGTAAAATCAATAGTTCTTTAGTATAAGCAGAAATACATAACGTATCGAGAAAACAGCTTCATAGATCACTTTCTCAGTGGGAGTGATAATGTCTCACCCCATAGGTGTATAAAAATGGTCCAGTAAACTCCTTGGCAATAAAACGGCCCGCAAATTCTCCAACGAACCGTTGTGTTTAATGGGCAGGTCGATAAAGCTACCTTTTGATACTCGTTTAAAGGCTTATTTTGTGTTCCAGCATGCCACTTCTGATCCAATCTGGCCAAGTATAGGCTCTAGAATTTCCCCCATAATCGTCCGATTTCTTCACTAGTTAATCATTTGATTTATCATCTTGTTAAACTGAATCGTTATTATAGACTCTAAATCTGAGTTTTGCTGCGTTTCACATTTTGATGAACTTAAATCAGTAATTGAAGCTCACCTGAAAGACGTGTTGTCCACAGGACTGTAAAAGAATGAAAAGTTCTGCTCCAAGCTTAGTCGGTGCTGTAAAAATCAAGTAAAAATTTACCGCAGTCAAGTCTACCAATGAGGACCTCTCACAAATCGTATGCTCTCATTTTTAATACACAAACATCATTAAAAAAAATATTGATAAAATGTATGTACATAAGTTGAAACAAATCTCTCAGCTTTAAAAGTGTTTTTTCTTTGTGGTCACTGAATAGTACCCGTGTATTGGGTGTTGGCAAATAGCGCGTGACGAGGCCCTCATTATTAGCGCTACAAGACGCGCATTTCTCCACCCGCGTGAAGACTTGAGAGAGTGAGGATTCAAATTTACTCGTAACAAATGAAATCACAATTACCATATCATCGGATAGCAAGCGATTTCTAAAACTCGTACTTCCAGTAACTCGATCAATCATCTCACGCATAAGCTGAAAAAACAAATTTCCTTCAGTAAGTCGCAAATAAAATATGCTTTCAAAGGCTCTTTGCTGTTCAGCCCACAGGCCAGACAGGTAACTGTGACCAGCTACAGGATCTCTGAGGAGGTAAAATCGCCGCTATACTTCATGCTAACACTCTTTGTTTGTTTGCACAGCACAAAACTATTGTTAAATCAGGACACCGCAAATTATGAAAAAGGGGAAGGGGGGAAACAGCTCGGAGGCTAAAGTAAACAACGGGAGAAAGAGTATGTTCAAGTTAACAAATGGTAAACACCACAGCGTACACTATTGAATTATGGATGCACGCTGGAGGTTGCTAAGCACGAAAGACGCGTAAGAGTCGCTCGAGGCGATAGCCGAGAGCGACTCTAGCTTCTTGAGTGCTTAGCAATCCTCCCAAGTGCATCCATAACTCAATAGTGTACGCTGTGGTGTTTACCATTTGTTTTATAACATAACATTGATACATTGTAGCTAAAGAGTTCCCTTTTATTTAACAAATCTTACGTGACCAGAAAAAACAAGCGCGCGCGGAAAAATAGTCTTTGCATTTGCTCACGTCAGCAGCGTACACCCATGGGCAAATGGGGGACGCTAAATTGACCAATCAGAGCGCGCGCTTTACTTTGGTTATGTTATAAAATAATTTAGTGAAGCATGATTGTTCCCAAAATTGTCTCATATCAACACTTAACAAACTAATCGAGTCCGAAAAATTGTAATTTTCAGTTGAGTATCAAAAGTAAATCAGTATTCCCTTAGGTTTGTTAAACTTAGCTTTGCGATTGGTTCAGAAAACTTACGCCATCCTCATAGCTGCGGGAAAACAAGGGTGACTGAGACGCAATTGCTTTAATAGGGCTGCTCTTTACTGGCTAGTTTTGTTTAACTTAGTTATGCGATTGGTTCAGAAAACTCGCGCCATCCTCATAACTGCGGGAAAACGCGGGTGACCGAGACGCGACTGCTTTAATGGCGCTACCCCTGATTGGTTGAAAAGGTGCCACAGGTTCTTAAGACCAATCACAATACGAAAAAGAAACCAAAGTAACCCGGATGACTTGAGACCCTAATCAATTGAACATCTTTCTATTGTAATATCACGTTGTCAGGTTATTGAAGAGCAAACAAGAACAACGCATGGAACACACGAGACAACAACCAAGAACAAGCAATTACTTCAGCAAAAATGAACCTAAACGAAGCATTAATTCCAAAATTTACTACCTTATCAGAAAAGAAAATTTTCGTAGACGTAAACCCCGTTTTAAAGCGCACTCAACGTCAACAAATGACATGTGGTGCTCCTTTTAACAAGATTTTATTCCTCCGATCCAGTTTGTGAATGATATTTAACGCCAGTTTCTTCTACATCGTTTCTGTTAATGCCAAGCTTTTCTCGTGAACAAAAAGTTCTATACGTAGTTAAATCAAGAGAACTTTCTCAGTGAACGATACACTGTACATACAAGTTACTGCATGGTTGCCACAGAAATCGTTTTCTTATTGTCTCGAGGTTTTCAACTCAAAATTCGTTGAGTGTTCCCCAAAAATTTTCTAGACTAAACACATTTCAATACAAATGTAAAATTGAGTAACAGCAACAGACTCCAGCCTCCCCATCGAGCTCTCTATTCCACACATCGATACATTAAATAAAATTGCGATCGACTTTTCTTAAGAAATTCACTTTTCTATAGTAATTCCTGACATGTGGCGACCACGAGTAGAAACAAAGAACTCAATTATACACGGCAGTTAATAAAAAATAAACGCTTTTGTAAAGGTGTAATAGCAGTAAATGAGTGAGGCCGTTTCATACCCGAACCTAAGCTACATATGTTAAATCTATAAAGAAGCTTTAGAGAAACTTTCAATACAAAAGCTGACGGCAAAAATTACCCCGAAATTTAACTTTCTCTTTCATCTTACCCTTGAAAGGATGCTACAAATTAAAAAAAAAACATGTTCTCGCAACAAAAGCGAATATTTTCACGTAAACGGTGTTTTAAATTTCTCTTCTTTCTCCATCAATATCCTCTTGCGAATTATTTGCCCATCAAATTTTAACGTGCATTTTATTAATATTTTCAGAGAGAAAATCATTAAGTTGGTTTTTTCTCAAGAACAACACAACTCATAATAATAATAATAGTAATGATAATAATAATAATAGTAATGATAATAATAATAATAATAATAATAGTAATAATAATAATAATAATAACAATAATAATAATAATAATAGTGGTAACAATAATCTCATTAACCATAAAAACTCAAACAGTTTCTAATTGATGACTCGTTCGATTCTACCCACCAAACACCAAGCTAATAACTCAGTGACATTGTACAGCAAGATATGATTTGCATGCAGGAATGGAGGGAAATTTCACGGTCAACAGTTCATCCTTGGAAGTAAGACAACCCACACTAGCACTTACAACTTTGTTATCAGCCAATGCTTCTTTGGGCGGCTCGCCAAACTTTCTAAACCACTTTGACCAAAAATCAACAAAAATGAAACACAATGAAAACTGAAGCAAATTCATTGAAGAAGAGAATCAAAGGCCGTGTAGGCTTAAAGAGAAGGATTAGTATGTCTGCATCCAATGGTAAAAGAGATAATTAAGTAAAGCTGGTGACGACTGATCTTCCGGGCGAGAGAATGATCATGAAAACGACTGTTGCCTATGACTGCGACGGACGTCGCGACAAACTTAGCAGACGTCATCGTAATAGTCAAGAGAATGTCTGACAGTCAAACGTCGTACGTGGTTTTTGACCGCCGTATCACCATGGTTAGGGAGTTAGCGAAGGTAAGAAGAGGCTAAAAATAACCATGCGTTATTATGACGAAGAACATTTTTTGTACATCTGGAATGATAGATTTGTGTCAGGGTCCATCGTATTAAATGAAAAAGGGATGTAGTTAAGGATTCTAAGTTTCAAATGGAACCATTTCTGTTGAGCGATATACTTGTGAAGTTTTCTCGTAGGAAATTTTTTGTTCATTACGCAAAAAAAAAAACTGACAAAAGAAACTTACAGTTACTCTTATTTTATGCAGGCGCCGAATAACCTCCAATAATTTACCTCTTCAACATTTACATTACTCTATCCATAAAAAGATTACTCTACTCCATAGATCTTTTCAGAATACAGACTATAATATGTTTTACATTTAATTTTCTAACATTAATTCTAAAACTTTGATTAACACATAGAAAGCTTTATGCACCAGTTTAAGGTAAAACAGACAGGACACAAAAGTAGACAGGGATTCATACCTTCTTATCGAGGCCTGGATGGAACAACACAAAGCCATTGTTGTTTATTGCAAAGCCATAGCCGTTCACCCCAACCTGAATTTGAGAGCAAGAAAGACTTAGTCAGCCATGATAAACGGACATTTGATCCTCAATAAAAATCATTATTACAAGTAAATAAGTGCATTCGTAAGTTAGGAAAATAATGAACGATTTAGACTCCCGGTTAGCTCCCGGTTAGATTCCCGGATTTAAATTCCCGGTTAGCTCAATGGATAGAGCGCTGGACTGTTGTGCGGGAGGTCGAGGGTTCGAGCCCCGGCCGGACCAACACTCAGGGTCTTAAAATAATTGAGAAGAATATGCTACCTTTCTATAACATCAAGAAATGGTTAGATATTCTAGTCTTCTCGGATAGGGACGAATAATTGGAGGTCCCGTCTCCTGCAGGGTTAGGGGTAGGAGACGTTAATTTCCCACGCACGAGATTACTGTGTGATGGATGTCCTCCCCTGGGGTGGGATGGGTGGTTAACAGGACCCCCGTTGATACCTGTGTTTACTACACTGAAGGGGGCTACCCTGTTTAAATATAGATGTCTACTCTACTCAACAGCAATCTATCATTCTGCAGAGACGTACGTCGCTCAACGGGACAGTGCCCTCCAGCTGCGGTAAGGCCACATCAGTCCCCACCACTCCCAGCAGTTGTCCTTTATCTTCCTAATAAAATAAAAAGGAGATCAGTCGTAAGAGGCCTTATAGCAAGGTGATGTCAGAATATGAAATTTCACCCTAGGCCTCAAAATTACTAAATGAATGAAAAAGAAGTTAAACAATCCCTCCACAAGGTTACATTTCTGTTGTAAGAGAATACCAAATTTGATAGCTTAGTCTGTAATGAACGTTAGAAATCTATTCACCAATCATTCATGTCTCTCGTGTATGCACTTTGATCGAGTAGGATATCAAGGAAGGTGCATTCTTACTTTTCATACCTTTGATTAGCTCAGTAGCACTCTGATACATTAGACTACGAGCCGTACCTCTTTTATCGGCAAATTCCGTCGTGCAAATCAGTAAAAAATCAGTGAAAAAAAGGGACGTTAGCGCGCCGCGCGGAACTCTGTACTGTTCGTACGCTTCACTCCAAGAGTTCCGCGCGGCGTTTTTTTTTTTTTTAGACTGATTTTCTTGACCCGCACGACAGATCTCGCCGAAGAGGAGGAACTGCACGGAGTTATTGATATATGGACCTAGGGGGTTAGAATACACTAGGGGACCACATTATACTTACGGGACTAGTGATGTTAAACACTGGAGCCACTAGTGTTATCATTAAGCCAAGTCCCTACACATGAAAAATAACAGAACATTAGAGACTTAGTCGATCCGCTTTTTAACGTGAAATACAGTTAAACAAATTACTATAGTTTTAGGCTCATGTACATACGCCATCCAAATGAGATTAAAAAAAAAAAAAACGGGAAGAGGTCTTGAACTCATAGAATTGAAAGGGAACGAAGCCGGGGTCGCTAAAATGTTTATCGCATGAAAGAAAAGTGTACACTGAAATACTGAAAGAGGAGAAGAAAGTAGAAAGTACGAAAGTACGTATGATGCACGATCCTCGCAGTAAAGAGCGCTATTTATGCAATAGCGAAAATCAGACCTGAAAAGAATCAGGCCTGTACGGGATTCGAACCCCTGACCTCTGCGATACTAGTGCAGCGCTCTACCAATTGAGCTAACAAGCCAACTGGGAGCAGGCCATTAAGTTGATTCGTAATAAACCCGTGATAATAAATCAGATACGCAGTAGAGAGCGCTATTTATGCAATAGCGAAAATCAGACCTGAAAAAAATCAGGCCTGTACGGGATTCGAACCACTGACCTCTGCGATACTAGTGCAGCGCTCTACCAATTGAGCTAACAAGCCAACTGGGAGCAGGCCGTTAAGTTGATTCGTAATAAACCCGTGATGATAAATCAGATACGATGAATATATGAAGTTCATATATTTGAACTGCGGTTATAGATACGTACGATGCACGATCCTCGCAGTAAAGAGCGCTATTTATGCAATAGCGAAAATCAGACCTGAAAAAAATCAGGCCTGTACGGGATTCGAACCACTGACCTCTGCGATACTAGTGCAGCGGTCTACCAATTGAGCTAACAAGCCAACTGGGAGCAAGCCGTTAACTTGATTCATCACGGGTTTATTACGAATCAACTTAATGCCCTGCTCCCAGTTGGCTTGTTAGCTCAATTGGTAGAGCGCTGCACTAGTACCGCAGAGGTCAGTGGTTCGAGTCCCGTACAGGCCTGATTTTTTTCAGGTCTGATTTTCGCTATTGCATAAACAGCGCTCTCTCCTGCGAGGATCGTGCATCATACGTATCTATAACCACAGTTCAAATATATAAACCTCATATATTCATCGTAAAGTAGAAAGTGTACTCTCATAGACACTATGGTGAACTGAAGGTCACAAAACAATTAAATGTATTTCACATCTCTGCAAACCGTAGGGCAAAGAAACGTATTGTGTAAACGCACAGAACAAGCTAAGCCAGTAGGTCCCCTTAATATTTCAAAAGATAAAATGCACTCTGTGAACAAAGTGATATACAGCTGTAGGATCTTTCAATAACCATTAGAAACTATCTATGAAGTAACTGTAAGAAATACGACTCACCAGGCCATCGAGGTAAATAGGGGTCCAGGATGTATCTGGTCCACCCTCCACAAAGGCTAATGGACGACTGAGCACTGATACATAAGACTGGGAAAGAAAATAACGTTAAAATATATTTTCACTCCGTTGGATTTGTTGAGGAAAATAGATTTACCATCTCGGTTTTGATTGTCTGACTGACAAGGATTTGTGCTTTGTCAATTTAAAAATTACACTCTAAACGGAATAAGCAAGTTTTCTATAACATAAACAATTTAAATAAATATAATTTATTTAAAGTCGATAAGGTAGGGAGTGGTTGCCCAATTTTTCGAGCCGATGGCTCATGTTAAAAGCACTCGACTCCAGATCGAATTGGAATTTGGAGTCTTAGTTTTTGCAGAGAGAGGAAAACAGAAGGACCCGGAGAAAAACCCTCGGAGCAAGGACGAGAACCAACGACAAATTCAACTCACATGTGACGCCTGGTCCGAGAATCGAACCCGGGTCACAGCAGCGCAGGGCTGTGGTCTCGCAGCGCCCAGTGGCCCCTGGCGTCTTACATTTGTTCTTGGGGGACTCAGGAATCTTAGTCTTTTCATAAAAAGCATATGCTGGGCACCCTGGAATTCACAGTTTCTGAGCACTGGGCTCTCTTCAATTTTTCTTAGAACACAGCCTTGCAGTGTGAGGCAAGGGCTCTCACCACTGAGCCATCCCTGCTCCTATACCATAGCTACCCAATCAAGTTTATGCTTTAACTACTAAATTTGATAATCCTTGACACTTACTAAAACTTTCTCCCTGACATCTGAGAGGGTTTGTATGTTAAACAAGCAACCTTGTTCAAATGAATGAGAGAATAAATGTACAAGACTTTCAAAATATGGTTTTACGAGATAACGTTGATTTTGAAAGCCTGACCGTATTGACGCATGAAATATTGACAAGGACTCTAGTCCTTATCCCAAGCTTTTGGCGTTATCGTGTACGAGGGTTTCCCAAAGTAAAGATCGAAGCACTGTGCTCCAAAACAATTAGAAATAAATTTTCTCCCTTGTTCCTTTTCAATTACAAATTCTGTCCAGCATTCCCTACCAATGCTGCAAGAAAATGTTGCAAGACTTACAAACTTGATTATAGTTGCACTGTGACAAACAAAGCCAAAACAAAAAAAAGTGAGAGAATCAAGGCCTGGACAGTGAAATTGCACTGAGGGAGTATTCTTCCAAGCTAGTCAATTCTTCAAAATGCCACTGCTATGTGAAAGTTATTTCAAGAGATCTCATATTCTCTAAGCCAAAAACAATCACTTCCTATGTTTTCTAAAACCATTAGGAGTTCTTCACAAGTGGATTTTATAGGGTGCTTTGGCTCACTGCAAATGAACTACAACCCCGAAAACATAAAGCTTACTTAGGTATCATAAGAATAAGTATAAAAATGTAAATGTTAAGATACCTCCATTACTAATGGAGATCTTTTCCAGTGGATCATACTTTGCTCCTTTTTCACTCCCAACAAGGTAGGTGAAAACATGGATCTGTATTATAGGTGAAATAAATGACAAATTAGAGTAAATGAAAAATAATGGAAACCATGCTTCACTACTGACTTTAACTTTTTGAAGGTTGATGAGTGTAACACATGACTTGGCTGAGAAAAATAAGCAGTTACGAGCAAAAAATGGTACGATTTCTGAATAAATTGCATCAGCAAGAGCCAATCAGATCGCAAGTATCACTTTGAGTGGTTTCAAAATGGATGTAACAAGGTGTCAAATTAAACAATATCACTTTGTACTTGTAAATGTATTGATATTGTTATGCAAAGATTCATTTTGGGTCACTCTTGGAAGTGAAAGGATTTGCTTATGCTCAATTTCGCTTTTAAGTTTCTATTTTCTTTGAAAATAATGGGTGAGTCTACTGATTTTTATTGATGAAATGTGCTCACCTTTTTTTCTTTGTTTTCCTTATTAAATATCTTTGTACTTTCTTTGAATTGGCTTTCTTCCATTCCATCTGTGAAAAGAATAATTGCTTGTGTGCAATCTGAGGATGAATAGTTCTTTTCTCTTGAATCCTACAAAGAATAAAAATTCCTTTTTTAATTAATTACTCTTGACTGAACATAAAAAGTTGTAATTCCCCATTTCAAAGAGAGAGTAGGGGAGTGGGTCAAGTTTGCCGCGCAAGTTTGTCTGGGATCGTTACTCGGAACACGAATCTTTGTTTACTATAGGCGGATTCATGCTGACGTTATTGTTTACATTTTTGCTCATTTGCATACGGCTTTGCGTAAAGAAGGAAGCATGTTAGATACAAATTGACTTCAGGCAGCTAAAGAGCTAGAAAACCTTAGTACATGGTGAAACTTTTAGCTCTTTGGGTGTAATATTCAAGGAGAAATAGTCCATCAAAAACTGCAAAATTTCTGGGTGGCAAAAGCGCTAATGAGCTCATACATTCTATGTAAAATTTTGAGTTTTTAAACCCGTGTTGCAGAAAAAGTATTCAGTGCATCAGGCTCGTATTCATTGGCCGAGTTAATCGTACTTTGACCTTTCCGATATTCAGAGCTGATCTAGTTTTAGCTCCATCAGAAACTGAAATGCTTATGCTAATGAGGCAAATATTGTAAACAAGGATTCCCCTATAGATTTGTGTCCCGAGTAACGATCCCAGACAAATTTGCGCGGCGAATTCGACCCACTCCCCCACTCGTTTTTGAAATGGGGAATTGTGGTGGCAATAACAATAGGACTATAGATTTGTGTCCCGAGTAACGATCCCAGACAAACTTGCGTGGCGAACTTGACCCACTCCCCCACTCGTTTTTGAAATGGGGAATTGTGGTGGGAATAACAATAGGACTATAGATTTGTGTCCCAAGTAACGATCCCAGACAAACTTGCGTGGCGAACTCGACCCACTCCCCCACTCGTTTTTGAAATAGGAAATTGTGGTGGGAATAACAATAGGGATGAAGAAGGAAAGAACAGATGAAGGAGGAACAACAAGAGAGCAACAACTAAGAAGGGCCATGCACAGAAAAGCAACGACAGCTGTAAGACACTGGTGAAGAAGGATACCCAAAGACTGAAGTTAATCTACTCTACCATGACACCTGTATTGAATAAATTGAGGCACAGGAACAAAGCAAAGCCATAACTGCCAAACCAGAGAACCAAACTGTTCTGAATCAATCAATCAATCAATAATCTTTATTTATACGTGATAAGTATTTAAAGCGACACTTCGCTTGTGGGGTCGTGTCTAAATAATTATAGATATGAATATACTAGGATCAAAAGTCTGCAGTAAACAACTAAGACCTCAACAACATTTAAGAGACTTAAAACTACATCGCTTTAATAAAGAAAAGTCCTAGAGTTGCTGAAAAACCAAAAAGCCATACTTGGTTGGCTAACAGCAGCCCCTTAAGCACAACTAAAACTGTCAGGTGTGTGATACAGAGACTTGTTATACCTGTTGCTGGCTACAGTACAGCGATGCCAAGGACAGATAATCTGTTGTTGTTAGTAATGATAATTACACCAATAACAGCACTGTTAATAATAATAATAATAATAATAATAATAATAATAATAATAATTTACTTTCATAAGGATAATTTTGATGCACGTTTTCTGAAATTCTTTCAATACGAACTAGTAGTTGCTTTTGCAACTTTTATATGTAGGTTGTTTTTGTTATCAAAGTTAGTTTGGGTCTGATACGAGTCTGATCCTAGAGAACCGAATTATTATGATTATTATTGTTGTTGTCATCATTGTTACTAACTGAAGTGTGTATGCAATAGCTTTTCTTGGACTTTTATCAGACATTTTAAGCCTTTTAACATGAAAATAACAAAAATAATAATAATAATAATGATAATAATAAGGGAGAAGGAGAGAAGGAGCAGGGGGAGAGAGAGCAAGTTGTATGAAGTCAATAATAAATGTCTGCATCACATTTTTTTATCAATGGATCCAAGATTTACATTCCCTCCCCTTTAATACCTTATTTCCATTCTCCTGCTGCATCAGATTTAAAATTCAATTTCAAATATTACCTTCAGCACATCAATAGCTAATTGGAATCCACTGCTAGCATTTGCAATCCCCATAGCAAAAGTATTATGAGGAATAAACTGCTGTAAGAACTGTTAAGAATAAAATAGGTAGCAATAAATGAGAGTGTGTGTAGTATGAAAATACAAATCACAAACGTGATTTCTCGAGTTCTGCAGATTGAGACATTTTCCATCAGTCACGCTGCTAATATTTGACTACCCTTGTATATGTCAGAAAAAATACATGCCAAAAAAACCTTCCTCTAAATAAAGATCATAGTAAGATGCCGGGCAGACATTGTACATACTGTTAGGTTTCAAAAGTGACTGACTGCTGATTGCATTAGGTGCATGAGAAATAATTATAAAAGTTTGAAGAACAAATCCCTATCAATAACTAATCAAGTCTTTATTTATTGACTAAAGAGAAAAAATTAATGTTATTAAACAAAGCTCTAGGAAAGTCACATACCTTTTTATTCTGTGTAGTGGCTTGCAGCAGTTGCTTACTGCATTTTTCAGAGGACTAAAATATAACAGTCAGTTTATTGACAAATGACTTCAGTAATGTTTCGCTTTTAACTCAGGAACTGACTTAGACTCTTAATCAGGGTTATAAGTAGATGACTTTTGGTAGGTTTAAGTACTGTAGTAGCATATGTAAAGTAGTGTAAGGAGCATATCAAGTTTTCCAATCTACTCCTTCTATTGAAAGCACTGTCATTAGTTCTTTATTTTATTTTGTTTTGCTAACAATGTAAATATTGAACACAACGAACATATGAAATTCATATATCTGAACTGCAGTTATAGAGACGTATTTGTGCATGATCCTGGCAGTAAAGAGCACTATTGAAGCAATAGTTAAAATCAGACCTCAAAAAATTCAGGCCTGTACGGGATTCGAACCACTGACCTCTGCAATACTAGTGCAGCGCTCTACCAATTGAGCTAAAGAGCCAACTGGGAGCAGGTCATCAAATTTAAGTTTTTTTAGTGCTAATTAAATCTGTATTAATTGTAGATAAAAATTCCAAGATTTTGAGGAGGGAGGGAACTTCCATACAAAGTTAAAAGCTCTAGAAAGAATAATCCTTATAGTTATTTGATTCTGAATCATCACAAAGCACAACTTCATGATGATAAGCACTTGTACATTGTATAAAACACTTTGTTTTTCATAGCCACAGCTTGCAGGAGGCAAACCATCTTATTTTCAACAGGTATTGTGATGTACAAGGATCTCTCTTATTTCATTGTTGTGGTCACAGCAGCAAGTAATAAAATATCTACAACTAATATGTATGAATTATTCTTGGATAGTTACCTTGCCTATCTCCTTATTTTTCTTCAACTGACACAACATCACAGGTGCTCCTTTATACTACAGAGAAAAAATTTAATTTAAATAGTCCATTTTACAGTGATGCTGCATTCTTGCTTGCCAAGCCTTTCATCAGGAATGAAGCTATTAGGGTGACTTTGTTGTGATGCAAACATTGTAGCTTAGTTTTGAAATGAAAATTACTTTGTTAGCATGCTACCTAGATACTGGTCTCTGTATCACAACAAGGTCACCTTCAGCCTTACTCCAAATCAAAGGCTTGGCAAATAGGTACATAGCTGTAAATTGGTTTATTGACTGTCAGTAACATAACACAAAACTGTATTGTACAGTACATAAATGCACCCTTAATTACCCTCACAAAAGAAAAATACAGTGCAATTAATGCTTCATTAAAACTAGCACTAACATTTTAAGAAAGCATATCAAACAGATTGCTCTGTTTTTAAATGTCAAATTCAATTTTAAGTCTCCATTGAGGAAAAGCTACAACAGAATGAAAGCCTCTGTTCCTATCAAATCCCTTTTTTCAACTAAATCAATCTAAATTAGGCTACTGATGTAGGAGTCACACTTTACCAACTCTTTTTACACTGCATCACAATTTGGCAATTTTAGCTTTTATATTCAAATGGCCAAAAAAAAATTAAAGAATATTATTTTGTACTAACAAACTTACGGAGAGAGAAGCTTAATAAATTATAATCAAATATATTTCTTTTAAATAACTCCTGCAGTATTGATGTGAGTAAATTTATGAATGAACTAAATACGAAAATCAAATATTAGAAAATGACTTTTAATTAGTTAAATAGTGATCACAAAAATTGAATTTGAAGCAAGTTGTTACACCTTTTGTTATCAAGGATTTAGTTGCAAGTTTATTAAATAAATAAACTAATCATACCTAAAAATCACTTACCACTGCAACAATATTAACAAAGTCATTTTCTTGCAGTGTTTCAAGCAATGACAATGCAGCAAGCTTAAGAATGGACAGTTTTTGACCAGCCATACTGCCACTCCTAATTTCACAAGAAGACAGTATTATCACCATGTAGACAAAAAGGTTTAAAACACTTATTTTGAAATTATTTAGAATATACCGAAAATATTTATATTTAATAGAATTCACTTGACAGTCTTGCACATTTTTATACTGACAATGAATTGGTAAGTATAAATAGATCACGCAACTCAGAATTACAGTAAGTTCAAATTGACAACTTACTATCATGGAATTACTGATCACCATATAGATGAGCTTAATTATAACAAAACAGATACTTTAGGCTTGTTGAGTGACCATGGACATAGATAACAAGTAGTTTGGATTAAGTTTTAATACTTGATAAGTATGTACAAACTTAAAGTTGGAGATTTTGACCACCTACCAGTCATTTAATGTACAAAATGAAACCAAATTATTTATACTCACAAGTCTAGCACCAAAATTAAGTCTTTCGGTGCACTTGAACCTTGAATATACCTATCGGTAAAAAATCAACCAAACCTGTCACTCAAATTTTCCACCATTAGCACCTCCCAGTTTAGCTCAATTGGAATTGGTTAGAGCGCTGGATTGTTGTGCGGGAGGTCTAGTGTTCAAGCCCCAGCTGGACCAACACTCAAGGTCTTAAAATAACTGAGGAGAATGTGCTACCTTTCTATAATATCAAGAAATGGGTAGACATTAGTCTTCTTGGATTAGGACGAATAAACTGTAGGTACCATCTCCTGCATCTATTAATTAGTTAATTTGGTTTGGCAGGGGATGTTAAAGAACCCACACACGAGATTACTGTGATGTGGTCTGGCCTGTTTACTGGGAATTGGGGGAAAGGGGGCATCTTCAAATAAGTTTCCTTCGATTGATTGTAAACTGCTGATGCAGTCTGACCAAAGTCCCCCGAAAAGAGTTGTGATGGGCATTTGATCATATTCAAATGTTAATTTGTGCAATATAAATATCAAATTATTATTATGAAATCATTATCATGTCATATGGCAATTAATTCAGACAAGCTTGCGGTTAACATATATAGGGGCTTTTAAGATACTAGTCAGGGATCCAAACACATATTTTTTAAGGCACCACTTAGCAACCTAAAATCATAAAAGGTCAACAGACTGTTGTGTAATAAGCTAAATTATGCAATAATGTGCATTTTTATTGGTCCTCAACTATGATCTCTTGAAGGACAGATGCATAACTGACAATCCTTTACCCCTTAAAAACTAGTATGAGTGACCAAAACAGATTTTCTCCCTACAATAGCAGTACAATGTCAAGCAAACAAGAGAAATATGTCAATTAGGGGATTACTACTTGATCCAATACCAAATTCTCCAAACTTGTATCAAAAGAATTGTATAGCAGACAGTAAGGAGAATTACTGACTGAGACGATCTTGAGAGTGAAAAGGTTAAGGAAGCTTAAGGCTACATCTCAAGACTTATGATTTCAACAACCAGAGAGAACAAAAAGAAAACTGTGGATCCCTTTTTTTATCTCAGAGTCTAGTCTTTTAAGCAAATTTTCAACTGACATCAGACGAAAAAGCAAGGCTGTGGTTTGGCAGCACCCGGTGGCCCCTGGCGCCTTACTTTTGCTCTTAGACGACTCACACTATGAAATAAAAACCCATGAAAATCTTGTGAATTTATTCATGGTAAATTCGGATTTTTCACAGGATTTTCATGGTTAAATCAATGGCTTTTTCATGGTCTCAGTGCCATGAAAAATCTCATGAAAAACCTGTGAAAATTTGCATATTCATGAGCCATGAAATATTGTGTAAAGTGACCAAGAAGCCATGAAATACCCATGAAAATGGCATTTCATGGCCTTTTCAAAGGTACTGAAAAACCCATGAATTTCATGTCAAAAAAATTCATGGTGTTAAAATTCACTGGGTTTTAATGGGTTGTAGGAAATCATGACCCTTGAATATCCTGTGAATACGTAAAAACTTCATTGACCATGAAAATTTTCCCTGAATTTTCATGGCCTCTCCATGGCATTTTCATGGCACATGAAAGTTAATAGCCAGTTAGTTTTCAAGGGGTTCTTGGGAATATGCAAGCACCATGAAAATTCCTTGGAGACCCCATGAATTTGGAATGAAAAAGTCTCCTCTTCACTTGTGCCAAAGACTATACACTACAGTGTAGCTGTATGCTTGCATTTATAAAACTCTTGTGTGCTAAAATTCAAATGTAAGCTGTCAAGCAACATTTAACTTCCATGTTATACTAAAGCTGTCAAGCAACATTTAACTTCCATGTTATACTAGTACTGTTTGTTTTTGTTGATTCTGCAAATTGAAATTCAAAGATTTCTACTCGATTTTGACCTAACACTCTTGGGATTGAAGGGCTTGATTACAGTTCAATAATTGATTTTTGAATTACAATCTTGTTGTAACTAACTATAAATTGTACAGTAATGAAGTTATCCTTCACTGTAGACTAGCCAGCTGTTTGCCTTTTTTTGCTGGGCTCGCAGCAGTTGTCAAACATGACTAAAATAATCCTGAGACATTCAGCTTATTGATAGATTTATTTCATCGTAAAGTGTAAGCTTAACAAATTGTGGCATCCAAGTGACTGATTTGATTCTCAGTTTTGATCACGTACCGAATATCACAATTTGTACTCGCCACAAACTTTCAAAATCAAAGCTTTAAAAATGGCTGTTTGACCCTTGTACCGGCCAATCAATATGTGAACTGCACTCCATTCTGTTAACTCCACGGCGCCAACGACTTGCTCTCCAGTTGTACCACTCGCACTGTTCTCATTTTCCCATTGAACAACAGTAAAACGCATCTTTAATTAAAGATGTTGTATTAATTAGGCAAAACACGAGCACGAGCGATCAACCGATGAAAAGTTCATTTCAAAGCTGAGCGCCAAATGGAGTTTTCTTTGTTTGCGATCACGAGTATGATCATGTGGATATTTTGGGAATTGTCATTGGCTAATAAATAGAATCTGCTGGCTTGCCCGATTGCATGCAGTTTCAACAGAAGCACGCAAAAATTGCTGACTTCTTCAACCGGTACTCTGCCTTTGGACGAAGCTTAACCTTGGATCCATGTTTTGAAGATCATATTAATAATAGTGTGAACTCATTCTATGTAGAAATAATCGAGAAGAATCGAACGTACTACAAGTGAACAATTTGGGGCCAAAAGTTATCGAGGAAACAAAGACTCGAAACCCTGACGTAAGTCCTTTGCTTCGACTGAACTAGCAGCATTTCCAACAGAGTCAGCTGCGTCTCAACAAAGAAACATTTGTACAAGAGAAGGGCGCGACTATGGTGCATTGGAATTCTCGCCTACAAATGGACATGCACATTCCAAAGCAGCCAAAGCGTTCCCATGTTCATGACTATGTTTATGTTTTATGATTTTGGCACATCTGTGGACATAGACATTTTTCATCACAATAAAAACTTCTACGATTATGGAATCCAAGAGGCCTTTGAGGTTAGAAAGCAAATCTATTATTGACACTTAGCAATTAACAAAACTGACTGCTACTTTATGAAAGATTCCTACTTATGTTAAGAATTACTAAAAACTTAGTTTGAATAATAAATTTCATGATAAACATTTATATACATGTATTTTTATCTCTTGGTACATTTTGTATAGCATACCTTTTGTTGAACCAAAGTTTTCAGCCTCTAAAATTACTCCTTGTTTTAAAATCTTAACACTGAAGATATTGAGAATTTCTTGGAATTATTTGATTGCCATTCATGGGGCATGAAATTAATTCTGGTGACTTTCTGAGGAAACTATTAGGTCATGAAAGTAGACTTTAAAGAAATTCATGGGTCATTAAAGTAGGCTTTTAAAGAAGTTAATGGGTCATGGAATTCATTCTGATGACTCTCAGGAGAAATTAATGGCTCGTGAAAGTAGACTTAAAAGAAATTCATGGGTCATGAAAGTAGAGTAAAAGAAATTAATGGGTCATGAAAGTAGAGTAAAAGAAATTCATGGGTCATGAAAGTAGGCTTTTAAAGAAATTAATGAGTCATGGAATTCATTCTCACTGGTGACTTTCAGGGAAATTCATGGGTCATGAAAGTTGGCTTTTAAAGAAATTAATGGGTCACGGAGTTCATTCTGGTGACTTTCAGGGGAAATTCATGGGTCACGAAAGTAGACTTAAAAGAAATTCATGGGTCATGAAAAAAATTCCCCTAATTCATGGAAAATTCAGGGCTTAAAATAACCCCATGAATTTTCATTTTGCAGTATTCTTGGACCATGAAATGATTTTCATGGGTTTTCCACTAGAAATTCGTGGAATTTTCATAAAACTACAGTTCATAGTGTCAGGAATTCTAGTTTTTTCATAAAAAAGCACATGCTGGGCACCCTGGATTTCACAGTTTCAGAGCACTGGGCTCCATTTAATTTTCCTGCTTAGTGCACAGCCTTGCAAAGACTTGACTCTTTAACTCCCAAAATATGACTGTAAATTCTCCCCTCTAGTTGTTGTACAGTTCATTCTAAAATGGTTATGAGAATTTGATGTTAGATCATGATACCAAATTCTACCTAATATTGGTTTGAATGTTCTCATTTCCAGCCTGCTAGATCATGTATGGATAATTTACAGGGAGAAGTTACATGTTAATCACTTCTGGGATTTAAAAGGTTGGTATATATGGTGTAACAACTTAAATACAGCTTGCTACATGACAGCTGACAACACTAGTAAGAGCAAATTACCAAATTGGTGACTTTTGCAACAAATTTAGTTTACTTAACAGTTTTTTCTTCTTTTCATGGCATTTGTCAAGATCCCAGCTTGGAGTGCTACTGACAGATGGGTGTTTGCATTGGATGTAAACATTAATGTATTCATATTCATGTGTTTGAAGCAAAATACAAGGTACACATTGTTATATTACCAGCCACGTCTTCTGTTGTCAAAAGTGTCTGTGTCAGTATTTCTCCATTTGAAACCTAGGAATCATGAAGAACATCAATTTGCTGATTAACTATTTTGTTGAATTTGTCCAAACCATGTATTATATCATTTTCCAGACTCAAGTTTGATTCAAGTCATGAAATACAGCAAGTTGTTGAGTGTTAATACCCCAATATAGAGACTTTCTTCATAATCAATAAATCTTATGATAACAGTTTATATGAAATCCAGTTATACCTTGTGCATGTATATCTAGGATCTCACAGAGCTTGGGTTTGCAAAACTTTTGCAATTTGAAAAGAAGTGCCATCTAAAACCTATCTCCAACAGTCAGATGGTGCCCAAAGAATTGCTCCCTAGCATAAGGGCTATAATTTCAAAACACTATTTTGTAGGGGGATTAAGACCTTTTGGGGAAGCTACAAAAAAAGATCATTAAAATTGCAATCTACCGGGATACACTCTGTAAACACCATCAGAGCTTCCAAAATACTGCCATAATAGTGTATGGTCCTTCTGTTCATTTTCTTTGAAGTACTTATCCAGTCCATCAGTCCAGTTAATGGTATTGAGAATTTTCACTCCTATTACATAGAAAACAACCATGCAATGACTATGAGAAGACAGGATAAGAAGAAAGAAAGTATAAGTTGACATGCAAAGAAACACCTCGGTCTTTACACCTAATATGGTCAACAAAAATTTCACTCTTCTGACTCCTTTTTGCTCTATGTATTAAGAAGAAGTATGCTGTAGCAGGCACCTAAAGTTCTCCTTAATGCTTTCAAGCTGGCCCCCGATTACCAATGAACAAAGACTCTGGGGACAAATCCACATATCTATAAAATATTCATGATAAATTATGTGTCAAATCTTCAACACTTCAGTAGTTGGAACATCCTAGAGTTGAATGGACTGTAATAAAACTCAACCAGAATGGCTACTAATTACCCCTTCGTGCCATTAGTTTCTTAATTCTTATTGTGTCAGTGTACAGGTTGTACCATAGTCAGGGCTTGATACTAACAGTAGCCAACCAGCAGCAGACTAGTACAAATTCAGTTTTGGCCAGTGCTTTTTGATTTCCACTAGTTAGTTTATTAGCCAGATTGGCTAGTAAACTAATTGAAATTGTTGTAATATCTAAGTTGTCAATAGTCACTTGGCTAGTAAGTTGAAAAGTTGGTGTTGAGCCTCGTAGTCCCTTTAACTACAGAAATAGGTTATAGAGGAACAGTTTTAATAAGCAAGGGCTACACTCACCCCCTTCGTAAACATCCGTTGGTATGTGCACTACACTGCTAGATTTGTTAATAGCAACTTTATCAGAAAACTTTGGGTCTTTTTCAAGAGCCAAGTCTTGCAGGTTCTTAGTGTCAAAATACTCAGTCTGAAAAAAATTAAGAAGGATGTAAATTCTGTGTCAGTTCCAGATCTAGAAGAGGAATAAAAAAGCTCAGAAACAAATGTCATCAGTTTGCTGGTGATCACTGCGTTACAGCACTCAAGCAAAAGGATGATACTGTGACTTCCTTTAAAGATACAGGTCTGGAGTAATGGGGCAATCAAGGAAGAGCTACTGTGGAGATGTATGGTGGGAAACATCCCTGACCTTCAAGCAGAGGGATGCTGAGGAAAAAAGGAGGGCCATAGGGAACCTTTTAAGGATCAAAGGCAAGGCCCACTGAGACACGGTGCTTAGAAAACCGAGAAATTTTTTCAAAAGCAGTCTCTATCCCACCTTCTGCATATGATAAACAATCTTAAAATTATGAAATTACTTAACAAAAATAATAATATAATTTTTGTAGGAAACCTTATTTTAATGCTTACCTAAACAATCTGAGTGCGGTATAATTTTGGAAGAAACAGCAGAATGAGTGGCTGAGGTCTTGGAGTATTCACCTACTTTTTAAAATTTTTTCTAAAACTATCTTCCCCACTAAAATGCTGCCTAAGTGGTAACAAATGCTCACTAATTTCAAGTAATCTTGTTTAGGGCCAGGCAGGGGAGGGAGGGGGGCTTTCAAGGGATTTATCTATTAAAAATGAACCACAAGAATTGATTAGAGGGTTGTCAACCATCTACTAAGGGGTGAGGCCTGCCAACTACCTTAAAGCCACTCATTGTTGTCAAGGAGTGAAACAGAATAGAATTGGAAAAAGAAGCAAACCTCTTTAATTACAGATCCAGTCTTGTAAGTGTAATTCTTTCTGAGTTCTGCTGCCTTTGCAGCAAGATTCTATTCACAAGAAAAACAAAAGATCCAATAAATGTGAGTTCAAGAGTTGGCCACAGATAGCTATTATTAGTGATTAACACATGGAATACTAGACATGTATGGTTCAATTGAAGTCTGATCTCTTTAGGCTATATCAAATATTTGTTAAATTACCCTTGTTGGGTGTTCTTATGGAACCTACTATGTCACAACAATATTATTACCACCAGAGGGTGTTGACTGCTAGGGATTTCTATCACAGAAATAATTTTTTCAAATTTCTCTCTAGCATAATAATTATTTAGTTATATCATATAAATGCAAAGTACAAATCCAAAACTAAATACATATCACCAAAAAAGGTGAATATCACCAAAACATTTCAAAGCTTGAAAGCCCGAGAAAAACCGTTGAACTTTTTGCCACATCAAAACAAAAATCTTGACCTACACTGCTCTTAAAATCTTTCACTGATCTCTTTGCCAATCAAATGATAAATAATGTTAATGAATGCTTGGTCTACACTCGTCAAGATGGAGAGCATTTCATTAAGGTGTAGTGAAATGGGGCTTTCAAAAGATAACTGAGCCACAAAATTCAAGAAACACTTCACATGATAATTTCTGGAATTTACAACTGTTCTAAGGTGTCGAATCCGCCAACGATTCTTCATTTTTATAAGAAAAAATCATTAGACTTCTTAATTAGGATTTAAAAAATAAAGCAAAAACATTTGGGCAAGTATGTCCACCCAATTCCCGCATTAAAAATCATATCCATGTGATATCGTCCATGAATAATTTTTTCACTTCCTCCCGTTTCCAAATCCGTAAAATAAAGGGGAGAATTAATTTTAGAGCATTTTGAAACGATCGAACTCAATTTGGCCATAATGTAATTCATGTCATATCCATCGTATACTTGAATTTATAGGTTATTTGCCACTGCCGATTTTTGTTTACATTTTCAGAAACATTCAAATCGATAAGAAGGCAAACAATATAATTTGTGCGAAAAGTGTAATAGGGAATACGGCTTGAAATACGAAATGCAAAAAACCAAGAAATAGAAAACAAAATTAAAACGCCTATATATTTTTATTGCTATAAGCTACGTTGACTTAAAAGTCAGTTAAAAACATGAAATCCAATCAACTCTCATAAAAATTTAAAGGCCCGAAACTGTAGAAAACGCTCAGGTCTAGAAGAAAAGAGTGATTTCTTTTTATTCTTCTTGGGTTAGTATCCTTGTCTTGGTTAGCAGTTGCTTCAAAAGATGCGTAATTATCTACGCCCTGTGTGCTTGCATGGATGCACGCAAGACAGGAAAACCATATTGTCGTCGGTTTCCTCTTTAAAAGGCAAAAAATGGAAACACATCAAATGTCAACGTTCAAAAGAAATTCCGCCTTGTACTCTGCGTTAGTGCTTTCGGCGGAATATCGAAATTTACAATCTATAAGTAACACTTTACTCCACACACTTTTACTAACCATTTACCACATGCAACTTGATCAGACGGCAAAATTTAGCGGAAACTTACCTTGATAGAATCAATCTTTTCTTGCAAAATACGCTCCAGGCGCTTTTTCATCTCCTCGGCAATGGCGCTACCATTTTTCTCCAGAGCGGAAAGCTCAGACTGACGGTACTCCTGCAATAAAGGTGCATGCACGAATAATTCATTTCAATGAAGAGGAATATTTTCTGACGCAGGAACCAACTGGTAAAGTACAAAAGATTGTTTCCGTTATTTAACAGTATACAGAAGCAGTTATAAAAAGCGTGAGCAACAGAAGAAATGCAAACACAACACACCAACCTCTTGAATTTTGTTGTACTGGGTGGTATCGTTGAAGAACCCTGACAAGTTTCTTCGCAACTCACCCGCCCAGGACTTTACACTGTAAAACAAAACGAAAATCCCCTCAAGTTTCCGTCGCAAAAAAATTCATACGCTTGCCGCATTCTCTAGGCCTGAAACTTACTCGTCTATACTGAGAGATCCAGCTGTTTCAGCCAAGACACAAAAGACACTGAAAAGAGCGAGAAGCCTTGTTAAATTGACCGCCATCTTCACTCACTGTCGCCAACGCTATTTATATAAATTTGCCAGCCAAATTCGCTTGGCTCAAACGCCGTCACTTATTAACATAGTGTTTGGGCTTTCCTAGCAGCCATAATTGCCTCCCCAAGACAAATATGGAAATAAAGTCATTCATTTTTAAAGATTTTTTGCTGTCATCGGGCAGGTGCAGCGTCAAGATCTATTGGCGCGCCAAGAAAACGAATTAGCATGTGAAGAAGTTTCACGACTTTCGAATGCCACCCTGGTGGTTGCCATGAAACCAAACGGCAAGGCAGGTATTTTCTGAAAAACGCAATGCAACGGTCTCATTACAAACTGTCACTGAAAAATGACTTTTCGCACATCACTGACGCTCCTACTAGTACCAAGGCATTATCGATCGAAATTATGCTTTGTTATAATTTCCTTGTTAAAAATTCACACGATTTCGCTCATATGCAAATTTAACTATCATTTGAACTTTCTTTGTAGAAGGAAGTAAGTAATTTTGATGTCTGTCTTCCACTACGTTGCAAACTTTAGAAAATCGTTCCTTGTTTTGAGAATTTATCACGCTGCGCATTACCCATTTCAAGTTATAAATATAGTCGTTAAACGTTGTCCTTTTCAAAGCCACACTACTTGAAAATTATAAATCTCAGATACTCCAAAAGAGCTACTGGACTAGTCTTATGTTGACTTTCTTTATGGTTGTCATACTCAAAATACCTGCAAAATCATTCCCTCCGAGTGTTAAAGCACATTTTCGAAGATTGCCGCCATGTTTGAATACAAAGCGCTGGGGTGGAGACTAAGTTCGAAGGCTCGGGGAAACCCGTGGGGGAGGTAAACAAAATCTCGCAGGTATTACTACAGTGGAATCCCGATATCTCGAACCTCCAAGAGAAACGCAAATTGGTTCGTGAAATCAGGAGTTCGAGAAATCGGGGGTGAAATTACAAGTGAAGCAAATCCAAGGGAAACAAGGTTTGGTTCGAGATATCGGGAGATTCGTGAAACACCGGGATTCCACTGTAAGTAGTTTATCTCTTCGCCAAACGTCATTTCTTAGGGAAATTTCTAAAGAGATAGGGTAAATACTTTTTTATTTCAATTTCACAATGAAAGACTAAAAAAAATTACCAAAATTTATTATGTAGCAGGTCGCACGCGTGTCGTTTGTAAAGCGGAGCGCGATAAAAGTGGCGGAGGTTGATAACGGGGGAATCACGCGACCCGACTAGCTTCGCTCCACCGGGCCGTCCAGTAACCCACAGCCATTTCAACTATACACGCCGCATCCTTGAATACTTTGATTTGTCATTGAAAAGGAAAACTAGAATTCCCATGACTTAAAAAAGAAAACAAAAAACGCAGCACATTTTACAGAAACTGGACTGTTTAATTTTTCAACCGCATATAAAACAGCCGTAAGATTTAATCTACTTATTCAGTGGTGCAGTGCAGTTTTATGAAAACGAGATCAGAAGGCTGCTTCTCACCTTTCTCAAAGACTAAGGAGCTTAACTCTCTCGTTTCAAGAAATTAATCCATACTTCTTCATATAGGTCCATAATAATATTTTCATAATACATTTAAAGAACACTCGTTTTCGAGGCTCTAATTTCTCACCAGATAATGCCCAACTGTAGAACTTTTCCCCAAAATTAGAGAGTTGATCAGTTCGTTTATCCGTAAGGCAAAACGAACAGAGATCGAAACACCTCGAAGCCTGTCAAATTCTAGCTGTGCGAAAGTTTTATCGATCAAATTTTAGCTGTCCGAGGCAAACTTAAAATTTTTCACTCAGAGGATACTTTTCAACAGGAAAAACTGTGCGAAATTACCTAAAAAAACCTGCAAAATATAATAACTTTTTTAATCATATGAATATTAAATGAAACCCTCAGAAAATGTAAGTTCATTCATTCAAATGGTAGTGCTCCAATATTTATTAATAAAAAATGTAAACTTTCTAAATTTTATAATCTCTACCGACAAAAAGTTTCCCATTGAATTCTCCAAAAAAAACAAACAAACAAACAAACAAACAAGCTGGGCCTGCAGTTCACACCCAGCACGTTTCTTCTAGATTTCCCTTTTATTGCCCTTCATTCACCAGTCCGCCTGCAGTAGTTAATTTTCCTCGGGTCATGGGACATCAGTGATCCAGATGGGGAAGACGGAGGGGGGGGGGAACAATGCTTGAATCTCACGAATCCCCAAAGGTTATGATTCCAATGACTGTAGGTGTGATAAATTCTGTGATGTCTTCTCATTGACTTGTTAAGCGAATTCAGTACGTCACAAATCCCGTTATGATTCCTCTGTAGTAACTTTTCATCAGTAGCAACGCTTCATTGTATGATTTCAGTGTTCGAGAAAACAGGCCATTAATTTTCAAGGAATATCCCGAGATCTTCCGCTTGTTGTGGGTTCTTGTCTGGTTTCTCTTTGTCTCTGCGTTTCCTGAGTCCACTTTCACCAGGAAATACACTCATTTTGAAATCTGCTTTTGAATATGAACGAGAAACTCGTAGTAAGACATAACCGATTCGGACCGATCGTCCACAAGATTCTGAAGGAAAAGCATCCTCATTCGGCTGTCTTCTCTGTGAAGGAAAGAAGAACTATTTTTAGCTTGGTTTCAAAAATAACCGAGATACTACAAGCATCCTGATTTGTCAAAAACCTAGTTTAGATTATTGCACCATTAAACCCATAGTTATTTTATATAAAACCAAGAAATAACCCACGTGGGATGTTAGGAGAACACGAGAAAAGTTTGTAAATCACGAGCCGGAGGCATTTATTTTTCTCGTGCGGTCTGCTGCTTAAATAATCTGTCTTACCAATAAAACGGTAGGATCATCTCGAGAAATTGTGGCTAAGATGCAAGTAAACAGCGACATAAACTGTTCGTAACCGCCAAAAAAGTTTTAATTTGAAGAAAGTGCTACAAAACAACGGGCAAATATTGCGAGCGGCTTTTACCAAGATGAGCTCTCCTCCAGTTATCTTCTCCGAATCGAGAACCTTCCTTATCAAATTCACAAGCCTGTTCAGATAACTTGATGTACTTTATGTAATGACCTCCGATTATTGGTGTGTAACTTACTTTAAAACATAAATGTTAGCATGGCAGGAACGCTGTGCTTGAAGATAATCCACAAATGTTCTCACTCTCTCTGACTGAGGATTTTCCAGCGCGGGCAGCGATCCCTAATAAGTGACGATGAAAATAAAAACGGTGATCAATGAAACGAGTTTAAGCGCTAATCGCTAATCACGGATCCCGATTCGTACATTTTTTCGCTGACAAACATTTTCCCTGTCAGATGAATCTGCCCAAAATTTTAATGATTTTTTGAAGTTCTCATGTCACTGGTGATTCGTGTCTCAGACGACAGGCGGCTTGTTCTTCTTCTTTTGCCTACTCATTGGTTCCCTGTATAATTTTCCTTCATTCTGATTAGCTGTTGTTACGATACTCAACTGCCATGCGCTCCAAATTCATTCAACTTTTCAGTTTTGCCGAATTCAAATAGCTTAATCACAAAAAACTCTTGCTTTGTTTTTCCATAAAAAAAAATGCTGTCCTAATTATTTTGGGTGACAAACATTAATACCGTGACTTTTCACGACCTCTCTTTTGAAAAGTTAGAGATATCGCAAGCCAAGATAAATTTATTTAATAACCTCACCATATTCTCTGGGATGCTGCCGAAGTTTGGGACGTTAAATAAGGCTTGGATTACATCAATAGGGGCATCTCGTCCGACCCAAATGTAAAATGCCTATCAAAAAACAAACAAACAAACAAATAAGCAATTAAATAAACAACTACATCGGTTACTCCCGCCTGTTTCCTTTATTGATAGTTTACGACAAGTAACAACCACTTCTACTCACATGACCAGTATCCAGAAGAAATATTCCTTTTCTGGTAAGCTTTTCGCCCGAAAGATTATAAATTGGAGGCTTCGCAACCAGGCCAGCTTTGGTCTGGAGAGAACCCTGGGGAGAAAAAATAAAGATGTATATAAAGTGAAAGTTTACCAACCGCAGCAGATATCTTAGATATTCTTTTTTGGTGTCAATAACCAATCATTCTGGGTGAACGGAGGAGCAAGTAGTTCTACAGTTGTCTCCCCTTCGCCACCCAAAACCATTTTGATATTTCCCGATCCTGAGACAAGGGCTTCCACCTTAACGTTTTCCAAAGTCGCCATTTGGCGACCTTAATCTGTTTATTGATATCCAGAAATAAAAGATAAGTCGTAAGAAATAATTCAGAAGTAAGTAACGCCCAACGTACCTCATCCGACAGTTCGTGTATCGGATACATTTTTGGATAGATAGACAGCATAACCAAGCTGAGAGGCATAACTTTAAGCTGCTGCATGGAAAAACACCGCTCGTCTAAACGAGATGTAGAGCCAAGACGAAACGCCATCTGAAAGTCCAACGTGAACATGTAGGAACATTAGAAGCGGATGAAAACTATTCCGAGCAGAATCTCAGAGGAGAAATTTTACAGGCGCATAGAACTGAATTTCGTTTGCTCATTGATAACTTCGCACTACTAATCTGCAAAGATAACGCTGTTTATCCCCCTATTAAGTCGCTTTTTGACTCGATAGTTTTTGAGTAAAATCACTTCTTACGACGGAAAATGGTCGCTTGTGACTTAACTCCTTGACCCCTAAAAGTACCGAGGATCTAATCTCTCCTTCAAGTATGATATCGCCTTTGAAACACACATGAGAATAAAGGAAACGATCACCAACTCTTGACAGCACATTAGGGAATGTTTAGAAAAAGTATGGAGAATACCCATACTGATGTTAGGGTGTAAACGGTTTAGCAACGAAAACTCGTGAACATCAATTGCAAGGAAGAACTCCTGAAGTAGAACTTCCTTAGAACTCGGCAGAATTTTGTTGAAAAGGATCTTTTTGTAACCATCTATTCTAGAAAATCTCCTCTTTGACACTTTTTTGCCTAACAAGCCTGCTACAACAAATGGCAGAGTAATAGAAAAGAGGGTAGCAGTAGAACGTCGCATATACAGCCATAAGTCCTGTGTACTACATACGTGTTTCATGATGGCCAAAATAAAGAGCGGAAGTAATCTCAGAGAATGGGGCGCTATTAGTCCACTGCTCTGAGGCTGATTAGCTACCGAGGAACGATAAACACCAAGAGTGTCGATACAGGCGTTCATCAAAGCCTAGGGGAAAAAAAAAAAAAAAAAAAAAAAGAAAGAAAGAAAATCTAAAGTGAGCGGCAATATTAGACATCATATAATAACTGAGATACTACATGAGCCTTGATTGGTCAAAACCCTATCCTTTAATGCACCGGTAAACCGCCAGAAAATTGTTTTGTCGTGTTCTCCCACCATCCAAAGTGGGTTATTATGCCGATAAACCGCTAGAAATTGCGTTCTATTATTAATTGAAACGACGAGAGCTCTTTGACTGAGCTTAGAGTGAAGAATCCATGTTCACTGTACTTACCTCTCTAGCATCCCCTAATGATGACGTCAACGTTCTGTCGACAGCTAGAAAAAAACATCAACAACAACAACACCCTCAGAAAAGTGCTTATTAAGACCCTCTAATAATAACTAAAGCCAAAAGCTAAGAAGCGCCTTAAATGCAATATGTAAACACATTATCTTTAAAAGACGTCACGACATATCAAAAGAGTTCTCTCCACGCTCAGTTATAGAGATCTAACAGCAAACAAGACGGAATCAAAAGTATGGCTTACTTACCCATTTTGGCAAGTAGTGTAGCAATGGCTTGTACATCAGCAGTGGCGTACAGATCAGCCAGCTTGTTCGTGATCGGCAGAGCAAGAGTGTGTACTCTGATGCGCCGCTCACCTGCAAAATACACAAAGGCATTAGTTTGGAAAAGTTAAATCATAAACTTTAAAAGAATCCCGTGCCTGTATTTATCTTGTGTCAGAGAGTAGGCCTTAGAACTCACTTCCCAGACCCTTATAATTTTAGGTTTATTAAGTGATATGTTTTTTTTTTTTTTTTTTTTTTCACATTCAATTACATCAGATTGCATTCTGAAACTCTCGCAACCCTGGAGTGTAACCTGCAGGTGTAACATCGAAACTTGTTTACCAATATTGAGGTTATGGAAAGGTGCCTCGTGCGGTGAAAAAAGGCGCGTTACTACTATGTGCGACCAACAGTTTTGTAGCTCGCAATAGTGTGCGAAGTCATATTCGCTCAGGCGTGCCACATTAAAATTTGAAATTGTCCTCTTTCTCATTGGCCACCAAGTTAGTTATATAGAAATCTTTAACATGAAAAGATGTAAAAAAATGAAAATTCGAACACACACAAGAGGTGTTGGAGGATCAACCTACCCTTGGTGCTTGTATAAAGAAGAGCAGACTGAAACACAGCCAGATTGGAGTCTGTCAGCGAGTCTTCAATGTCAATCTGCATGCTAAAACCACTGTCAGGACTCACATTCGGCAAAGAAACTAAGTCCGTAGAGCGTACAAAGAAGTTCCCATGGAAAGTGTGGATTGAAAGCCCTGGTGACAAAAGTGACGTTATAAATAAATTGAATATCTCGAAGCTTGAACCTCAACAATGAATCCTTGGCTCTTGAAAGCTTGACGAATCCATTTGCGAGTCCCGTGGGAAACACTGTCAAATAAGTTCCGCTAACCAGTTCTATAGCATATTCGGGTTTCTGTTTTGGTCTCACTGTTTCAATCATGAATCGTTTTTACTGTCAGTCTTCTTGGATACCTATTCTCATGTCATCTGACAAATTTGAGGTGACATTTCACAGTATTGCAAAGAGATAATCTCCTTTCTTTTCCACACTCTAGCTAGGTGGAGATGAAGGGGCTGAACCAAGGAGAGCAAAAAAAACGACTGGATACCTTAGAAAACGGAGTAAAATTGCCCCTTTACTGCATATTACCTTTTGTGCAGCGAACTCTCATAACTGCCTCAAATCCAATCTTCCTTGTTAGATAACGTCTGAAAAAAGACCAAACGTTTCTCTTCATTTTACTCCCAAACTCAAACAGGCCTCACTATGACTGTGTAAATTTTAGCCCGCGAGCAGGCCCACATTAAGACCGCTTCGCCACGGCAATTTTCCCTTTCGTAAACGGCCGTTGCCATTTGAAACGGTCGTAGCCATTTTAAAACGGTCGTTGCCATTTGTCGAAACAGTCGGTACTATTTTGTAATGAATGGCAACGACTGTTATCGGAAATGGCAACGACCGTTTCAAAATGGCAACGACCGTTTCAAATGGCAACGGCCGTTTACGAAAAGGAAATCCGCTTCGCCACGTGCGATTCCTCGCCCGTGGGAATGTATGAATCCTTGAGCCACGCGAGTCATCGAGAGGTCTACAAGGAATCCGCCACTGAAACCTCATCTCAAATCCTCCCGCGGGCGGAGACACTCGAGTCCTGGAGCTCTTGAAGAGAGAGAGCACCTGCTCGCATGCTTTGTAAATTTACTTACACAAATTCATTTTCAAACTTTTCTGCTGCAGCAGGGTTCCTTGACACATGAAAGTCAGGATAATACATGACAGATCCTCCAGAGTATTTTGACGCGCACACTGAAATGATCACAAACAGTTTTTCGCATTTAATCTACGTTTTTAACTACAAGATTAAAATAAGAGAGGTTATAATTAAGTTTGGGGGGGGGGGGCAAATTGAAGTTACAAAAAATGAATGGATGTTAACTAATGGTTTTAAAAATATATATACCAAGGCGACAGGGAGATGAAAGAAATTGTGAAGCAAACTTACTTAGTGTAGCAATATCTGCATACTGTCCTGAAAGTAAGAACAGATCAACGGCGACTTGTTCAGCTGCACAGTCCAGTGCAAACTTCTTGTAGAAATCTGTAGCTGGTGTTAAATTCTGGACATCCTATTGAAGAAGACAAATATAAAGGCCTCATTTCCTAAACTCCAGTTCGCATATATCATTTTCATATATTCACCGTCATTGATTCATCACTGCACGGGTTTATTGCGAACCAACATAACGACCAGCTCCCAGTTGGCTTGTTAGCTCAGTTGGTAGAGCACTGCAACGGTATCGCAAAGATCATGGGTTCAAATCCCGTTAAGGCCTGAATTTTTTTCAGGCCTTATTTTGTACACCACTGCTTAAGTAGTGTTTATTACTGAAAAGATCGCTTTCACACTCATAAACGCCTGTGTAAACAATTACATCCAATACAACACTTGTTTCTGTGAGATCAAAGTCAATTATAATTTGAAGGTTGACATTGTTGTACAGTAAACACACAACGAAAGAAATGGGGATCTTTGCAGCCAAGTGGCTAAAAACTGTTTCTGTAGCATGAGGTGACTCCCCTGGATGGAACATCAGTGTTTTGTCCGGTTTCCTGGGAGTTCATCCGTACCCATTTAACCCTTTAACTCCCAGAAGTGATTAACATGTAACATCTCCCTGCAATATCCATACATGATCCAACAAATAGGTAATGAGAATACTCAAACTTATCACGTAGAAGTTGCTATCTTGATCTAACACCAAATTCTAGTAACTAGTTCACAAGGAAAATGTGTAACAGCTATAGAGGAGAATTAAAAATCAGATCTTGGGAGTTGAAGAGTTTAACACCCTGGTGGGGAGAGGCACAGTAAGAATGAACTTTCTAGCTAAAGAACATAACAGCGCACCCTGTTTACCATGAAGCGACTCAAAGCAGAAAAATGACTTAAGTAAAGGGGGCAGTTTCTAAAACAAATGTAGGGGGGGTGTAATAGAGGATAATTTGGTTTTATCAACTGAGCGGGTAATGTAAAATAAGCCACCATTATGACCTTCTATAGCTGACATTTTGAGCGTAAGCCATTCATCAGTCATTGAGCAATTTGATACCACCAGTAACACCTCCTGGGTTTCTGAATTACCTTTGGAGAAGATTTCTGCCCATCCTCCCTCTTTTTCAGTTCTCCAGGGCCAATGTTAGGTAATGTTGTCTGGAAGAGTGTCACACGACCACCTATGTGACCCTGGAAGATGGAAGAGACAAATGAATACACAGTATCAATGACTAGGGAGAGCAAATGTTTAAACTACAAGACCATAAGCATGCATTGGGTAAATCCACTATTTTACATACAAGGGGGGACGCCTATGAACTGCATATAGTTTAGTGGGCAGGATTAACAATTAAATTCAACAATCCCATGATGAGATTTGGCAACACTGGTACAATACATAGTTTACTCCTATGATTGCTTAAACTAACTACACTTCTTGACTTACCACTAGTTTGAGAGCTGCTTGCAGGGCTGCCCCTGTTGCACTGTGAACATTGTGATTATTGCTGAACATGTTTGGAAGAGAATCCAGCAGTTGAGTTATAAGCTAAAATCATATTCACCACAAAAAAGAAAAAGACAAAAAAAAAAATGTTAAGCCAACAGTAGCATACTCATCTTGCATCAACAGTGATCAATTTCATCATCCTTTTGTGCATTTTTTTTTTCTTTTTTTCAATTCCCAAAGATGTTTAAACAGTAAGTCACTGCACATACCTCTTTACTTTCATTCATATTCACCAGAAGGTCATCAGGAGATGGAAGGAAAATGTCTATAATAAAACATATATAGTGTACCTTAGTACATGACAAAAATAAATTGCAAAAAAAAAAAAATTAAATACACCAGTTCCAGGATTGCTATTTCTGGTTACAAACACCACCATCAAACAGGATATAAAAATACGTGCATTAAACACGAATGGAAAATTGAAAGCTTGAACTGACCTTCCAAGTCTGAAACAATATTCATCTGGGGTTGAGAAAGCTTTGACTAAAGGGAAAAATCAAACACAAATTAACACCAACAATCCACGAAACTTTCAAACTACAAGCAAGGAATCTTAACTGTAACTGGCAATGAACTTAAACGTCAATGGATCCAATGGGAATTTCACACACATGTTCATATATATCATACAGGTATCTAAATGGCCTCCTGTGCAGAAAATATCTGGGACAGTGTCAAATTGGTATTAGACTTGTAGCTGATTTGGGTGAAAAGAAAGAGGAAGTTTTCCTAACAATCTCAGAGTGTAAAATAAAACCAATCCAATCCCTGATTACTTTTTTGTATTCAATAAAAATGTGTTGATCAATGTATGATAATCTTCTTTTTCCCACAAAGCACTGTAACTACATTGTATTAAAAACAAAATTATAAACAGTAGTGGTCCATTCTGTCTTCCCATTCCTCTCAATCTTCTCAATTCCTTTCAATCTAAAAGTTGGCAAACATGGTTGTCCTGGTTGAGAAAATTTATTTCAGATTGCTTTAATGATCCAAAAAAAAAAGGAGAGTATTCCTTTTAAATCTTGTACAATCCTTATGCCTCACAAACCTTGAAAACAAACTGCACTGGCAATGCCATTAAAAATACCATTTTATAACATAACCAAAGTTAAGCGCGAGCTCTGATTGGTCAATTTAGCGTCCCCCATTTGCCCATGGGTGCACACTGCTGATGTGAGCAAATGCAAAGACTACATGTATTTTTCCACATGCACTTGTTTTTTTCTGGTCGCGTAAGATTTGTTAAATAAAAGGGAACTCTTTAGCTACAATGTATCAATGTTATGTTATAAAACAAATGGTAAACACCACAGCATACACTATTGAGTTATGGATGCACTTGGGAGGTTGCTAAGCTTTCGTGCTTAGCAACCTCCCGCATGCATCCATAACTCAATAGTGTACGCTGTGGTGTTTACCATTTGTTAATTAGACTTTCTTTCACAAAAAATTATTGTTCAAGTTTTATAACTAAGTTGTTAGCATTTCTCACCTTTAAACTGTAAAAGTGAACTGTACTATCAAACGTTATAAATCCAATCTGCGTTCTTAGATCTCCTGGCACTTTCTCTAAGTTTTCTTTCAGCAATTTACAAACCATATGCAGATAACCTGTAAATACCAAAACAACATTCTAAGAAACATTAGAATTTATGTCCAGATGACATGTTATGCTGCACTCAATTCAGTTGAGTAAATAAAACAAAAAACAAACCAACTACAGGGCGCAAACATAAGAATTCCAATTAGGAAAAAATAAATTAGTAGATCAGGGCCTGTTATCTCTTTAATTGCCAGGATCTGATTGTCAATTCTCCCCTCTACTTGCTTCACATTTCTTTATAATTAAGTAATAAGAATTTTGTGCTCAATCAAGATAACAACCTTTATCTGATGAGTTTGAGTATTCCAGGATAATGTTGGATATTATTCTTAGAGATTCATCACTTCCAGGAGATAAAGGGGCCCAATACATTTGGAGATTTCCACAAAGGCTGATTTCAAACAGAAATTTAATTTTCAATACTTAACTGATATTCCTAAGCTTCTAAGGCTCAGAAAAATTTGTTGAGATAAAATTTCTACCTGTCTCTATTGCATTGAAGGAAACATCCATAACAAACAGAAACACTGCTGGCTGTGGAGGCCTTAACTGCAAATAATACAAAACACATAATTATTATCAAAAACAATAATTTTGTGCTTTTTCTCACATTACAACCAATAAGCATCGTAATCTCAAAATTTATCAAGAAGGAATTTCTCCTTAAAATATTATGACTAGGAAAAATTTAACTTTGGATCTTTTAGTGTAGCTACCTTGTATTTTGTTACCAGCTATCCATCTGTTTTTTTTCCCTGTTCTACAGTGTAATACCATAGCTTGTTTTGGGTATTTCGGTGTCAAAATACACTAAAATTGGCATACTTGTGGAATAATAAAGTTTAATAGCTCACCATATATTCTGATGGTGCTATAAATTCCACTGTAGCATTCCTCACTTCTGGTCTCTTGGACGGATCTCCATACTGTCTAGTTGTCGGATCAAAACAGAATTCCTCTGGAACTGGAAAAAACACATTATATAGACAGTTAGCTCTTGAATTGAAAAATAAACTACTGAGTCTTTATTAATTCCTAATCAACAGTAACAACACTAGTTTGTTGGGACTGTAAGGTTGGTGTTTATTAAAAATACCCAATGAGAATAGTATACCTTCATTTACTCTGAAACACATTGGGCATCTCCACCTTCTAGAGTCAGTGAAAGTGACAAAAGGATTTATATATGTTCTACAGGAACGACATCTGGTAATGACAGAAGAATGAATAACTGGGAGGTTCTGTTGAAGAAATAAGATTGATAATATTTTGTAAGTCACTTCTATACATCTGTTGAACAAGAAGTGTTCAAAGGGACAAACCATTTGACTGATTTCTCTTCTGCTGTTTTTAAATTTCAACCTTCAAATTCTTACAGGATAACCCACCAAAAAGCTAAATTTGAAAAAAGACCTCATTGAACCAGGTTGTCAGTGAGAAGAGTGATTTTTAAGACTTGCCTGTAAATCTTTGAAAGGGTGAAGGTGAATTCCTAGTGGAAGCTTGGATTTTGTCAAGAGACTCTTGGTTTCTGGAACAGCATTAATGGTGCAACATAGCACACTGGAAAAAAAAAAGGCGAGAAAATTAATGACAACTCTGTTCAGTATAAGAACATATTTCAATTATCTTGATATCTAATTAAATTAATGTAATTCAGCCAAAGATATCTGAAATATCATAGGGCCAGTAAGACTCAATGTAACCTTTTGTAAACCAGTTACAACTAACAAACACAAATTAAGCATTTTAACACTATAGAAAGTTACTGACAGCTTATCAGGTGATTCCCTGCGAAGCACAGCTACAAAAGTTGTAATGTGGGGGGAAGGGGTAAGCCAATTACAAAAAAGATTCATGCAAACAACCCCTACACCCTCCTGGGGTGCCCACTCCATGCAAACACAACACATTACAGTATTTATACACTAACCTTGGATCACAGTTCCTTTTCCGAAGGTCCTGTAAGACAAGGCAAAATAGATTATTCATCCATAACTCAAAAGAAATATGAACACACCCAGGTGACTACAATACACAGGTGACTACAGTACATGTATTAACACTCTTATAACAATTCATTTTTGGCTGCAACCAGTGCAATAACCGCTAACAAGCTGTGGATACCAACTGACCATTTAAATCCCATTATAGATATCAGACAAGGAAACAAAATAACATAAACATCAGTACTCACTCCAGGTAAATTAGGGGATGGCTGCTCAATTGGTGTTTGAGGAAGAACATGCCTCTGTTCTAAAAGGTTAATGGGTTGGCAGGCTGAGGATTGCTATGTATTAAACAAGACAGAAAGTACAGTAAGTTTTTAAAAGCTACTGTAATCATAAGGAGGGGCTTCTCAAAAATAGTTTATGAATGCTGAACACAGAAAAAAAAACCTGCTTAAAATGTTTTGGCTTTGCTATGATGTTCATGCTCGACAGAACAACCAAACCTTTCCCTTGGTAACCTTACAAAATAATGATAGTACTTCAACCCCCTTTGTCCTAAAATCTGTACACATATTTTTCATACTGTCCTCCATATGTTTCCAATACAACTGACATGGAGAATTTGTTCAACAATAATCGCTGATAGGAGATCATTTCCCTTTGTGGGGACCTTAAAGTTTGATTCAACAGTGATACTGCTATGAAAAATAAGATGCCAATCACTCCTTGGGTTTTATGGGTTAAAAGAGATATTCAACATTCAAAAGGATTCTAAAACCAGCCAGGTCTGATTTTCAAGTTGTTAGTCTACCAAAGGAGCCACAGAGAGGCAAGGTGGTATAAAAGGAGGAGAAGCGACAAAAGTCTTGCACATATTTTTCTGGTTTGTTCATCTAGGCAGACAGCAGTTTCAAACACAGTACAGGCATTTTTCAATACCTGCACAGTAAGTCTTCCCATTGGACCTTCCAGACCTGAAGATGGAAACTGTTGTGTATTACCACCCTAGATATGAAAATTGTGAAGTTAGTACAAAACAAAGCAGACATTGCTACAATTTTATTTCATATATTTCAAGACTACAGGTGTATTACACAGCTGTGAGAGGGAAACTATTGCATTTTAACTTAAAGAGATAGTTGTGTAAAAAAATGAGCACCTATATCCAACCAAAGAGAGATGAAAGCGATTTCCCAGGAGAAGAATACAGATGGTATTCCCTCCAGATTTCCTGACAGTGAGGGAAAGCACTGCAAGAGATAAGTGCTTTACCTAAGAATGAAACACCATTAAAACTGGACCTCCTAATCTGGAGTCCTCAACTAAGTGGGCAATAAATAAACAGGTTGGATGTTAATGCATAACACTTACAACAGATGGTTGTTGAGCCATAGGTGGCATTTGCCGTGGATACTGTTGATTCACTTGCCCAGGAGCATTCGTCACTCCACCTGACCCAGGTATTGAAGGTTGCATCGGCTGGTAATAAAACAAGTTTACCCAATTTACAAATTCCAACAAACGATACTTACAAACAACATGTAAGCCTAGCTCTAAGGAGACAAAATTAAAATAATGTGCATTTGAATAACACTTGAAGTTACACATGAGTGTCTAGTTAGCGGTACATTTTCAACATTCAAGCAAGGGCAAGTGTTTATTCTTAACTCTCAAACTTTTACCTGAGAAGGGTACATCCTCCTTCTGGAGGACATGGGTCTTCCAGCCTGAGAGTCTTGTCCTGTGGGAGAATATCCTGTTGGTGGACTGTTAAAACCAGTTTGTGGCATAGCTGATCCAGGAGACATTGATGGGAGAGGTGGGGTTAGACTCTGACCTGGTGTTCCACCTGGTTGACCCACTGGAGGGGGCGGCGTTTTGTGCTGCCCCATTGTTGACCCTGAAAAACCTGCTGGAGGAGGAGGTGTTGATCTCTGCAATGGGGTCCCACCCTGTCCTGGATAGCCAGGCCCAGTGGTCATTGGCATTGTAGGTCTCTTAGGTTTATTGGAATGCAAAGCTGATAATGGCTGAGAACCTGGTTGGCCTGTGGTTGGAGATAGACCAGAGGGAAAACCTTGAGCTTGTCCGGTGTAATTTGCCTGCTGCCCAACTTGCGGCGTCTGGGGTGGCGTATTTGACTGTCCATGTGCAGGCAACCCTGTCCGTGACTGACTTGGGAGGGGTGGCATAGAGGTTGAATTTTGATATGGTGATGACTGCCCTGAATGAGAAGTGACTGGAGTAAATGCAGAACCAGTTTGGGGCATTCCATGAGTATTATTAACTAAGGATTGCTGCTGAGAATTGGAATTTGGGGAAGGTCCATTTGCTAAAGAAGACCCCAAAGGTGGGGTGGACTGTCCCTGGGTGGGTGCACTAAGATTTGGTGCAGCTTGTCCCATTCGAGGATGAGCAGAGGAACTTCCAATAGGTGGGCCCACTCCTGACACAGGGCCATTGGCAATGGAATTAGGAGATGGAGAGTGACTTCCAGATTGCCCTGAAACAAAATGAAACAACTAACCTTAGTCACTTCCCTTTCATGTAGCTTTGAGGCCTGCATTAAAAGTGCATGTACCTTGGCCTGATGTACATTATCATTACAGACTGCATACAAGTATGCAGAAGGAAAATTTAAAAGATTCTACTCATAGGCTAGGGATTATTAGTTGATCAGATTCCAAATTCACCAAAGTAACATCATAAGAAATGTATAACAGACGGTAGGGAGAGTTACTAAAAAGATCTTGGGAGTGAAAGGGGGTATCTCCTCTGCATCAAAGATTAAGGTCATGAGAAAAAAGGAAATGATTGCAACATCAAGCCCTTGAACGTTAGACAAACTCCAAAGGAAATGTATAAAGAACAGTGCTGACAAATTACAAACTGATGTTAATAGGCCTTTTGCAGCTAAGCCATCACGTGACCTACTTTTCATGAAATTATGGGCTATAACTTAGCCAAATTCAGAAAAGGAAAAAGCATTTCGAAAATAACAAAATGGCCAAATTTGAGGCCTCCATTATTCAAAAATGAGATTTGACGACACTATGAGTTTTTTAATAAATAAGAAGGTTTATATGGAAAAAGTTGCATGAGAGTAAGGCCTTGCTCTCCAGCAACATTTTCCATACAAATCCTCTAAATTTTCCGAAAGTTCAAACCACTGTAAAAACAGTGCTCTGTAATTCCCAGGGCCCAAACTTGGCCGTTTTGGTATTTTCAATATGCTCTTTCCATCTCTGGTATTCCTCAAGTTGTATCCCTTAATATATATCTAAAATTGATCACATGACCCCAGCTGTAAAAGGCCTATTAAGGTGTTCAGGGTTAAAATGTTACGGTAGTACACTTAAAACCCAGACAAGGCTCTGAGGCTGACCAGTTTGTTTGACCAGAAACTGACCAGTTTGTAGATTCATTGGACCTCTGTTTGGTGCAAATGTTGTTGAAGATTCATGAGAATTGTTAAAGGATTGTTGTGATGATTGTTGTGATGCACCAGCCATGTTATGAACCATTGAAGGGTTGGTTCTATATTGATTATGGCGTGGTGGCAAAGATGTTGGCCATTGGCTTGGGTACTGATCTTGATAACCTAAACAAAAAGAGAAAATAACACAAATACAAAAATTTTTATTGTTGGGTTTTTTGCTCTAAAATCAATATTGTAAAATTTGCCAAAGATTAACCCAACTAAAGTTAAAGGCTAAGATGGTTATTCATAGAAAGACAGTATGGGGATAAAGTATACAATAATGTTACAAAAAACTATTGGAATGTTTTAATTACTAAAAAGTCACTTACATTAATGGTCATTATTTACACTAATATTAATATTAAACATTAATGGTCATATTTACACTAATATTCTAAGTATATAATCTACAAAGTCAATCCTCCAAAGCCCAATCAGAAGTTTGTGTACCAAAAAATTGCAAGACGAACTTTGTTCATGAACTTAAAGCCTAAGTATACAACAATTATTTACAAAACATGAACGACTTCACAAAGGCATTTTAACCCACGAGGTTAAGATTTAACACGTAAATTCAACTACGATACCATGTTTCCCCTATTAAGTTCAAGCTTGCGTGGTAAAGAAATGGCTTAATAATTAAGCAAGGAAACTAAATCTGGAAATTCATTCGGTGGTTTATAATTTCAACCATTAGTGCTTCATGACACAACCAGCTGATCGAGTGAAACCTGCTACTAAAATTAATTTACTAATGACGACATACTACCTGAGCAAATCAACCAGTACAATTTGAAATATCGTCGGAAGAAATTACCTGGATATTTCTATACTGTCCGAGTCAAGAGGATATAGGAATTTAAAAACTCTCAAGAAGAAATAGCCGTGGCCTCTGACGAGTATCTTATGACATTTCTTCACTTGATGAAACTCAATCTGTCAATAGATGATTTCCTTACCGTTCGAGGCCGGATTCATTTCTTGGGAAACACTCTGAGTCTGATTGTTTACTCCTTTCTTATCTGGATGCACAAATCCCCCATGATTTTGCGGAGATTGAAAACTATTTACACCGCCGTGGTTGAGGTATGGTTGCTGTTGACCAACCGAGAACGCATCACGGCTCGGCGGTAACCTTCCTCCAGACATTACCTATCACACATTTAAAACCCGTAATATGGTTCGTTGTTGAGTGGAATCTAATCGGGTTTTGCGAATCACTTTTGAAAAGCGTGAGTGCACCCAATTTTCCGAGAATTTTGTCAAACTCACTCCTGCCTGCAGCCACGAAATGCAAATGTTTTGAATATGCGCAGTAGACGTGTTCTTAGCGACGTGGCAACTGTGATGCATTGCGCTCCGACATCTCAGTTTTGTGCGTTTGCGAAGTACACGGTACGCAAACAGCAAACCATAGGATCTCCGGAGGATAAAATTGGTTGTAAAATTGGAAACGAAACATACATCACCGCACAGGAACTCTTGGAAATAAAAAATTATTCTAGAACGTAATTTGATTGTTTTGTGTTGGATAGTAGTTACAGACTTGGGACCTGAAGAATGCAAAGGAAGTCTGCAAACGAGGCATTTTGCAGCGAGTTTGCTATAATCGCATTGCATCCAAAATCAGTGTTTTATGAGAAATTTGTCAAGAAAGTGACAAATTTTGTTGGGTCGAGTCTGTACGAGTGAACACAAAAAAGAGCTTAAGAAGGAGTACAGGACACTGATGGTTTAGTTTCACGGTACCATGGCCGGCACTGAATCGGCATCACTG